GCATCTGGGTTGAATCACTGAGAACTAGCTAGACAGCAGGCAACATTGCCACTGGCCTTTACTGGTACTGTCTGGCTTCTCTGACCATCCGATCCTCTGGATCTGCGGAAAGTGAGAAATGCCAGGTTGTACACGCTTTCTTCCAGTCTCTTTCCGTTTCTTCCTTCCAGGTTCCCAACAGAATCTGCAAACAACTCCAAGACATCCTTTCACTTAGAAATATAAAAAATGAGTGAACTGGCAAGAGGAAACTCATGGGAGGGAGGGAGGGAAGAAGGGGAGAGAAAAGGAGAGCAAGAGAGAAAGAGTGAGTCAGCTAGAAGGGGTTGCCTTTCCACTTCTGTAAGACCACAGTCTCTACACCACTGTATTTCGGTGTCTGTAGGGCGGCGGGGGCAGCACAGTGCCAGGCTTCAGGGAGAACTCGGAGAGGTATTCAGGATTCTCTGCCACAATGGGCCGGATCCGTCCATTCTGTTTGTAAAAGTATTTTGTGCTGTACTCTTGCAGGTAGTCTGGGTGCTGGAGGGTGCTTCGTGGGGGCAGGCTGTGGTTCCAGTAGTCTGGGTTGTCAAAGGCCTTCTTGGCTTTCTCCGGCAAATTGTTCTTCAGGTACTCGGCGTTTTCCAAGGTGTTTGCAAAAGTGTTGAGGTACAGTGGCTCGTTCACATACTCATCCTCCGCTTTGGGCTGCCCGTTTGAAGCGTTGTGATACTCTGGGTTGTCCACAGCTTGGAGATCTCCGTTCTTTCGTCGGGAAACAAATGGGTTCTCTTCCACTGGGTTTAGGTAATCTAAAGAAAGATAAAAACCCAATCAGCAAAATCCAGTAGCAAACTTGATGTGTACGTTACTATCAGGCTGTACCAGAAGCAGTACTTGGACTTGTGCCCCCTTCACCCTAGTCGTTCCTAGAACTCCAGAAGAGATCAGGTGCGGTCTATGTTGAACACACACTTGCTAGAAGTGAAGAATTTACAACCTAAACAGACAATATGGGTTAAAATGAAGACCCTGGAAGATGAAGTGACTCATCAAACCTACTGGCAAACTAAACTACAGCTCCTTCTGAGCTATAGCCTGTGTGCCTTGCTTGATCCTGGACTTCGTCTCAGTGTATGATCCACAGAGACAAACATGCCGAGTGACTTCTGCCTCTGCTGCTGACTCTCTGTGCAACCTGGGACATATCAGTTAAACCCTCTGCTCTGCAGTCTTTCCGTCCAGAAAGCTCTGTAGAAATCTTAGTTAAGCCTCTCTGCACAAAAAACATCCCCAAGGGCTGACTTCTAAGACAGCTTCATTTCTAACAGAACAATTTGTCTGATTAAAAACCTTTCATCCCTGAAGAATAAAGGGCCTAGAAGCACTATGAAAAAAAAAAAGATTCAAATGAGCCCTGGAAAGGGTACAAGAGAGCCTTACATCTGCTCCAAAACGGGCCTTGGAGCAGGTTACACTTGCTTCAAATTGCTTTCTGTAGATTAACACCACAAAAAATTGTAGCTGAATTGCAGAAAGGTTTTAAGGCTTATGCAGCTTGCATGGAAAGCTAGACAGGAGGTGGGGAGGGAAGAGAAACACGAAGAGATTGGGTGTCCTAGGTTAAAAACGCACACTTTGTAAGCTCTCTCCCATGGCCACACAAAGGTGACTGAGCCACGGAGCAATGGAATCACTGAATGTCATGTCCTGCCTTGCTCCGTGTGCAATGAGGTCTTGCTACAAAACAGAAAGCCAGTCAGCCCGGGCAGGAGGGAGGTCACTGACACTGCAACTGGGCTGCAAAGGGAATGGCTTGGAGGTGAGCCAGGGCCAAGAGTGTCTGGGGGTGGGACCGCTACAGCAAGATGCGTCAAAAGCATCCAGTTCGTTCAAGGCTGGAAATCATCAGCTCAAATCGGCTTCCAGTATTAATTCTGCCTTTCATCTCACTGCCTAGCCGTTCCTTACAAAACAGGGTCTCCAGGCCACCGCCATCAGCGAGGGATGATCTCTCAGCCTGACTGTGCTGCACAGGGATGCCAACACAAGACCTCCATTTCCAGTGACATGGCTCTGGTCACGGGCTCTGTTCATGGGCTGCACAGAGCCCTGCCTGCAAGGAAACAGGCCCGTGTCTGTTATAAGAGGGTGGCTTTGGTCCTCACTTCAGGTCTGTTTTTATCAAGGACAGGGCCAAAACTATTAAATGTGCAAGTTCAAGACTTAGCAAGTACCTTTGCACACACCGCTAAAACTTCGCTGAATCTGAGGTAAACAGGCACATGTGCCCGTGCCAAGAGCACAGTGGGAACATTTTCTTTTTTTTTAGTGATGCCAGCCCAGCAGTGCTTTGATTTGAATCCCCCAGCTGACTGAGAGAGCATAGCATTGTGGCCACACTGTGACATCCTTTTGTCTGTGCCCAGTGAGGCAGGGAGGAGGTGCTTTCTCCTGGGCTGCTACTACCACATCCCTAAGGGCTCAGCACCCCAAGGGCTCAGGCAGCACCTGTGAAGTGTCCGGTTCCTGCAGAGCTCTGAGGACCACAGGGTGAACCTGTATGTGAACATCTGTGTGGGCTCACACTGAAGCAAACTCACAACATCAAATCTCTGATTGCAAGGGTGGTTGCTGAAATGCAGGGCCATGAGTGCGCTCCCACCTTGAGTCAAGCCCTAGGGCTCATTCCGTCTCCACCATGTAACACAAAGGGTAAGTGGCTTCCAAATTCTTCACAAACATAGTAGTTGCTTGGCATTTACATTCGCATTAATTAATTTTTTTAAAGCAAGTGCAAATGTTTGAAAGCAAATTACTAATGACGCATCTCCTTACATCTAGATGACTGCTGTCACTGTTTAAAAAAGGAAAAAATGAATGACGGCACACTGGGAAGTGCAGCACTCTGAGCTGGCACAGATCTAGGCAAACTTTACCTCACAGCGATGGTCTCTCTGAAGCACATCTCGTTCCTTCAACCCTAGACTTCTCTTGGGTATAAAATGCTAACTGTGTGTATCAGTTTTGTGGTATGTTCAACATGACATTTACCAAGCACAATGCCATGAAGATAAAGAAGATCAATAAACAAAGCAAAGTGGAGACTACAGCTGGCCAATGATAGATCCTTTTCTTGGAAATAACTGAAGATTTGTGTTTGGATAAGAAGGGGGTTTGGCTTTTTTTCATTCCTCTCTCTTGTTATTTCCCAGAAAGAAAAAGGGGAATTGCCAAACTTGACATATCGGTACATTTGAGCTTTTCTAAGTAGAAAATTAATCAAATAAAAATGAATCCCCACACAAAGAAATATTAACCTAGTCAGAATGTTTCAACCTTGCTGGGTTACTCAATAAAGCCATTTTTGGTGAAAAGCTGCTGATGCAGAAAAAGAGAGAATGCAGTTAGACTAGACCAGGAGCTTGTCCAGAAGACAATTTTTTACCTGTTTTAGGTTTGTCTCGCATTGGCGTCATGTACCCATCCTCATCCAGCTCTCCACAGACGACCCGCTCAGGTATGAAGACTGTAGGATCAGCACTGTACCTCTGGGTGCTGCTGTCCTCTTTTGCCAGGGTTGCCACTTGCTTTCGTAGCGTGCCATTACAGCAAGTATCTTCAAAGATCTCTGCTGTGGCCCCTTGAGCAACTGGGGCTTCTGGTATTATGCAGCCAGGAGCTCTGTATGGCATTGGCACTTCTGCAGCATAGCCACCATCTCTATACACAAACTGGTTCTGTTGAGAAAGAAAAGGCAGTATGAGAAAGGAGGCTCCGAAGGGAGGGAAGGTTCAACAGCAAGTCACCTCTGTGGCTCCTGTGCCCTTCCTGCCACACCTCCTCAATGATGCATTTCACCGGGCAGGTGAAGCCTTGTCCATCCTGCAGACTCCTGCGTTTCCAGTGCTGAGGGATCAGCAGCAGCACAGGCTCTGCTGGGGACTGGTAAAGCATCCATCAGCTCAGTGGTGCTGAGCTGGCTTCCCCTCCCAGGGAGGCACCATCGGTGCAGTAAGGGGAGCAGGGAAGCAGGCTGGCTGCTCAGGGCTTGAAATGGGGCAAGAAAACTTGTCTCCTACCTAGACATGTGGATGTTGGATATATGCAGCTGTAAGAGGCAAACACAGTATCTCCTCTTCTATTACCCTGGCCATCTCCTCTGATTTCTGAATAAAATCCTTAAACCTCATGCTAGGGAAATCTCCTTCTGCAAAGGGGACTGGGGATAGAGGACGTTACAATCTCTGAACTGTTTCTTCCTACTTTTAGGGTGTCCTGCCGTAAAAATCACACCGTCACCCAAACAGTGCGTAATTCTATCAGTTAGCGCATTTCAGGCTGGTGAACTGTGTTTGTATTGGTACCTCAACTCAATGGTTTGACTCAACCTACCATTTTGCTTATCAGCAAAGGCGTACAAGGAAATTGGTTGGAACAACATGATCTTTGAGGTCGCTTCCAACCCAAACTATTCTACGATTCTATGAAATTTTGACATCATGACCTATAAACAGGAAGGAAAAATGTACAGATTCATCCAAACCTGTTATTTAAACGCTTTTTCATTAAAAGTTGGCAGAATTTTGGGTGTGGGTCCATAGAGCTTGCACATGAATCCAGGCTGGGTGTAGAGACCTTGACTATTTGATTCCTTATATACACACTTCATTCACTGTTGGCTTTTGGGCCACTTACGTAGGAAAAAGGGTTTTGAAACAGAAAATATGTAGTGATGGGAGGAGGAAAACCTAAAGGATGAAATACTTACTCCTGACATAGGGGTGTAGGCAGGAGGAGGGCTGTGTCCAATTTCACTCTAATAGGAAAGAAAAATGGAATGATGGATACGTAATAAGAGGTCACATGAATGAAACAAGTCACATGAGCTGTATGAGCTAATGGGGAGAAACATGCACATCAGCTAGATTTCCTAACTGAATCCAAGATTCAAAGAATTCAATCATGGTAAATGTCTCACCAACGTCAACAATCTGTGCCTCACCACTCTTAGGGAAGGCTACTGACTTCCTCTTGCTGGGTAAGGGCAAGTGCCATGTTTCACCTGCTGACAGCTGTATATCCTGCAAATGTCTTCTGTCCAATTTTTGGGAAGGCAGATTGTACAGAAAGAATGACAGACAGTGCGCTCAACTCCAGAGGAAAGGCCCGAGAAGTGCAGAAAGCGTCTAGCTCCAAGCCAAGGGTTCCTTTCCCAGGGACAAAGCAGGAGAGGAATAAGTGGGAGGGCAGGAGGGTGCAGGACTGTCATTAGACTGTCAAAGCTAGCTTAAGCATCACAGGAAAAAGAGCCCCTAAGCTTTGGTAAACCCAAATAGCACAGCAGCCCCTGGATTTCAAGACTGCAACATGCCATGGTCCTGCTCCCAACATACACCACCCTTCTAATGCTACCTCTGTATCACAGACTAAGGGGGTTTACTGAGAAGTCTGGAGTATCCATGCAGAGATCTTCATTTTGATATTGGTTTCTGGAACCATCTTACACTGCCCTGTGGACCCTGAACTGCTGTAACATCACCAGCAGAACGGCTGCATTTATATCTACTACCGCTAACTAAAACTGGCCTGTCTTTCGCTGAGGAAATGCTGATTTTTGGAGGAAAATAAAAAGAAAACATAGAACCCTTTATTTTTAACGTGTTTTTTCTATTGCCAAAATGTTATTTTTGAGACTACAAGATCAGTTCTTCATAATTACTTTGTTTCTCATTTTGTTTCAAAAACTTTATTGTACTTCCCTTATCTCCTAGCTGGGGGAGAGAAAAAGTCAGGGTTTGAACAAAGAAGGTCTAAACTTGACATAAATTTGAAGGAAAACCCCACAGTCTCAGGAAGTAAGTCCTGAGAACACTCTACTTTAGAAGATATCTCATTCATCAAAATTTGTTTCAAAAACATATCCACATCAAGAAACATGCCAAAACTAACAGAAAAGACAACATGCATCCTCATGTAGTAAGGACTGGATGTACTACAGTCAATCTTTCCCTTATAAACTTCTTGCCAAAACATCAGGATGGAGATGATGGTCACTGTCAAGTATCTTACTCTATAAAGGAATGTTTGTTTCAAGTAAAATACCTGCATCAGGAAAACCTTAAAAAAAAACATAAACTTTTTTAAAATGCATGCTGTCTGCCTGAAGGCCCTTTTGCAGTGATCCATAATATGCTCATTTCCTTCTACTTGAAATATCCCTACAGCCATTTTGTTACTCAGATCTAGCACCTTGTGTCTGAGGTGTAAATGCAGTGAGGAATCATAGTTATACATTTTTCTCCAACCCCATGAAAACTCATCCATATTTAGTGAAGTTATGACCTAAAAAAGCCTCCAGGTTGCAAATGACAAAAGTGCAGAAACACCTTTGTTAGCTGAATTGTCTATCTGCACCATCTGGTAGCAAGGCTTGTGCAGGACCCTCTCAGTAGTAATTTTTCTCAGGGAAACTAGGTGCTGGAAGAAAACACAGGAGAGGATCTATACCATGGTCTCAGTGACCCACCTGCCAGTGCCAGTTCCCTGGGGGAGGAGGAGGAGGAAACAGCAGTCTGAGCAGAGTGCAGAGGAAGTTGAGAGGCTTGCAAGGAAAGTGATGCTGGAGGAGCTGGCAGCAGGGATGGTCAGGAGCCAGGGAACGGTGGTTTGCAAAGGAACAGAGGGCAATGACAAGTGAGAGAGACTGTGAGGTGCAGAGAGGGAGAAAGGGTTGGCATGTGACAGGAGGCGGAGTACCAAGGGAGAGACACTAGTAAGGCCTAATTGTGACAGGGAGAAACGGGAGGCACATAGACAAAAGTCAGTCTGAAAGCACTGAAACACCAGCTTCTCTAGAGGCTGGAGTTGAACGTGAATCTCCTCTGCTGCCAGCAAATTGCTCTTGAACTGGATGTCCAAACACAGGCCTGGTTCAGCTGGTGCTGGAGGAGCTGAGCAGTCACCAGTGCCCCCTTAGCATGAGTTGTGGAGCTCTGCTTTGTGTAGCCAGTGGGAGCAATGAGGGCCCTGAGCATGAGTGACAGGGCTGGGGGAGGAGGAGCTGAGATGCCACTGAAGTCTAGGCTAACTGTGACTGATTTCACCAAGCTTTTGCCAAAGACCTCATCATGTTTGAAAAGCAGAGCTTAAACTTAAGCCCTAGGCCTGGGAGCAGCTTTGGCCTCTCTGACCCAGCTGTGGCTGCTGACAGCCAGGGAAGCGAGGATGATGCCAACTGCAGAAAAAGTGCTGTCTAAGGCACTACAGAAGGAGATTGACAGAGGGCTTGGCTGGATCAGCCTGGAAACTTCAGTGCTGCCCCATCTGTGTGTGGTCTCTTTTCTCTTATTCAAGACATGTACACTCATACCCAGAAGAAAAACAGCCAAGAAAAGTTCACAAGGAAGGAAGGAAGGAAGAATCAAGGTCAGCAGTTGCCTGGCTGAGCTGATCACACTTGAGAGTGAAGATCATAATAGAGGAAGGAACAGAAGATACTTTAGCAAAGATTGCTTTTTTAAAGAGAACAGACATCAACACACATCTGGATACAGACTGCGCAGCAAGCCTGTACCTTGGCAGTCTTCTGCAAAAGGCTTGTTTAGGACAATTGGGAAGATCCCTTTAAACAGAGAACGCTGTGGAGTCTGGAGATGCTCTGATTGCACAGGTGAAATCCCCGCTGAACACCCTCACTGTTCTTTTGTACCACAGATTTACTGTCCACTTGTGATGACACATGGGCAAGGACAAGTTGCAACCCAGAATGTTAGATGAAAAGATGGAGAAGGAAAGACTGAAGACAGGTTAGTAGTAACCTATGGTCCACAGAGGGTGGTGAGCATTTAGGCAAACTGACGATTACAGATAGATCCAGAGAAGAAATACAAAGTGGCGACTAGAGAGGGTCAACTCCCTTAACAGCAAGGAATTCAAAGCTCTGCTGAGAATCCTCTGCCTCCCTATAAAGCTCCCCAACTTCCTTCCCTCCCACCTGCAGGCTGCGAGACTCTGAAGAGGGGGTTTACTTCTTTTGGTTTCCAAGGTGGCTACAGCCCTCCAGACTGCATGAGAGTGAAAAGAGCTGTAGCAATACTGCATTAGTATTATATGCACATAGGTTGGAGTTCCTGCTGTCCGCTTTTCACAGACATTAAACCAGTGACTGTAACCATTCCTTTTCTATTCTGTACTACATTGTTCTATATCACACACCTTTAATTTACATCTTTCTGTTTTCACAGAGGCACTCCCATGAATTTCAACTTGTGGTTCATCGATTCTGGATGAATAAGCGGGGAGCTGTTCAGTTCACAGCCCACAGTGACCACTTAAAGGTAACTTAGAAAAGGAAGTCTTTGGACTTAGAAAAGCAACTGGCTTGACTTCAGTACACAGGGCTATGCTCCTCTGCCAGTAAATGTTTACATGATTAGCAATTTTAAAAAATACTGTTCTAGGATGGCCACAATATCTATCCGTGGACATGCTTTGCTCCACCCTCATCACAAAAGGCTAAACCCACTGTCCTATCTTTAGACCTTCTTGGCCGTGACTAACATTTAAATACATACTATGCAACTATAACGACATAGTAACAGGCCCTCTTAGAATAGCCCTGTCCCAAGATGTCAGAAGAATGGGCTAGCATTAATGCATTTATTGCTATTTTTGCTGACAAGACTCCTCCCAGTCAGTGACCTGCCAACGAAGATCACAGTAATGGTATGTTCTTCAT